AGGGTGGGCAGGCCCTGGCACAGGGTGCCCAGAGCAGCTGTGGCTGTCCCTGGATCCCTGGAATGTCCAAGGCCAGGTTGGACACTGGGGCTTGGAGCAGCCTGGGACAGTGGGAATTGACCCTGCCCATGGAATGAGATGGTCTTTAATGTCCCTGCCAACCCCAACCATTGCATGATTCTATGATGTGAAATCAGGTGTGCTGATTTCTGAGGCTGATAGCAAAGCAATGATTTTGAGATAATGAGGGAAACCTGTAGGATGAGTATGAATGTATTTCAGGATTTAATTTAAACTGTATTTGGATTTCCATGTGGAGGTGCTTTAGAACACAGGTGATACTGGAGATTGGCCTTGCCAGCTTTGAAGGGGGACCCTGAGCTCAGCGTTTGTGTGGCTCCCTGCTGGGTTTCAGGTGATAATCCACTTTGGAGACCTGTCCTTTATTACCCTATTTCTAGCCCCCTCCTGATGCTTCTGCTCCCAGCCAGGACAGATTGTCACAAGGTCCCTCCTGGGCAGCTGGAGCTGCCAGGATTCCTGGAGTGCTCTGGTCCTAGGGTTGGGCTGCTGGGAGCTCCCTGACCTCCTGTGGATGCTCAGGCTGGAATTCTGCTCTGCATGGGACACGAGGACAGTCTTGGCTCCCTGCTGGGTTCCTCTGCCTGATGTTGTTGGAGCTGTCAGCCAAGAAGTCGAGTTTTAGGAGGGACAAAGCTACCCAGAATGGGGAAGAGCCTTGCTGGTGGAAAGAAAATTGCAAGAGAAATTCCATGGGCATCCCTTGTGCTTATTAAGTGTTGGGAGCAGAGGTGAGCTGGGCTTGTTCTTTCCGTGCTGTGTCCTGTTAACTTCCAGCAGAGCCACACAGTTATAATTACAGATTCTGTGTAAGCAGCATCCAGAGCTCAGTCTTTGGCTGTTGGGATAGCACCAAAGCCACAGGTGTGGAGCTGGTAGGCAAAAACCGTTATTATCTCCTTTTTCACCTTCCTCTCTTTGCTCTGTAGATAAACCTGTCCTGTGAGCCCTTACAGGGAGATATATTATTTATATCCAGGGAGATTTGGTACAGTTGTTAAAAATTGGGAGCATCTTTCTCTTGCACAGCACTGGCATGCTGAGAAGCCTCCTGGAGCTCAAGTGTCTCTTCAAAAGTATGAAGCAGGTCTTTAAATTATAATTTGCTGCTCTTTTATAGCACTGCAGTGTGTAGCTGCTGTGTCAGGCTGTAGAATCCAAGTCACTGAAAATCAGACTCCAGGAGTTTTAGACTGAAGCCCTTTTAAGGAACTGATGCTGTAAATTGTCTTGTCAAGCTCTCTGTGTTTAGATTTGTGGTGTTAAGGAGCTGAAGCAGCTTTTTCAAAAAAGAAGGGTGAAATGCTATAAATAATATTTTAAAAAGAAAATCTTTCAAGATTTTTGCAAAACCTGTCATTGTGAGTGGCTGGGAATACAAGAGATGTGCTGGGCTGGTGGGTTGGGTGGGTGATGGAGATGCCAGTATTTTCACCAGTCTGAAATTTCTATGATTCTGTTGAAATAAAAAGGAGAATATATATTCAGAGCAGCAGCATCTGCTGGCTTGGACTAAGTCCATGTGGGAAATGGGACCTGTGTGTCCAGGGGAGGTTGGACAGGAGCTTGAAATAGGGTCTTGCTGGCATCGTGGTAAAAGGTATCAATGGTTTTAGAGTAAGGAATCTCCTCTCTGATGATCTTAGTACATCCATAACAGCACTGGTCTTGCCACAAACGTGATTTTGGGGATAAGCCATGACATCTGTCTGTGATTGCTGTCCTGCCCTGTCTGGAGCTGGGTGCTTGGGCTGGCCACTGTTGCCTTGGGCCGATCAATCAAGGCTCCCATGGAGCGCGTCCTGATGCTTTGGGATCTTGCTGCTGGGAAAAGGGACGTATTGATGTTGATACGATGATGTTTGCTGTCCCCTGGCTGGCTGGGTGGGTGCTTCAGTCCTGCCTATGGTATTTTGGGATATTTTTTCTCTCTGGTGTGTCCTGGCCAGGACTCTCTCCAAGGCTGTCATTCCCCCAGCCTCCCATGCACAGCTCTAATTCTGGCTCTCCGAAGGCGAATCCCGGCGGTTTTTGCTCCCTCGCAGAGCTAAAAAATCCTGGAGGCCCAGCTGCCTCCACCTCTGTGTGCTCCATGTCCATGTTTAACCTCCCTCAGCCAGGTGCTCTCCAAATGCAGCGCTGTGGGAAGGGGAGAACTAGGAAATCTGCCGGGATCACGTTATGTAAGAGCCGAGTGTGAATGGTGAATAAGCAGATCCAGCTGACCACGAGGGCTCTGAAGGGCACCTCTGCTTCTCTCCCCATGTGTGGACACAGGAGATTGCTGTTGGCTCCAGGCTGGGTCAAGTGCCTGCCTCGTGTGTGGGTGCTGATTGATAGGAATTGATTTCCCATGCAGATTGGCACGGGAAGGGAGTTGGGAGGGCAGCATCCCAGTTCCTTGGGTGGGAGAGTGAGGCTGTTTGAATGTCTGCAGTTGATTTAGTGCAGTCGCCTCAGAGGTCTTCGCTTTGTGGAGAAGAGAAAATGATTTTAGCAGCTCTGTCAAGGTGGGAAGGGATCCCTCCTGGGAACACAGTACGTGCTGCAGTGTGAAGGGATGACTTGGGAATGAAAATTGGGGCTTGCTTCCTTTGGGGCCAACTCATCCCCTGCAAAAAGTGTAAGCACACTGTGCACTGGGTCTGAACTTACCCTGTGGTGCTGAGAGACATGAACTGTAAGTCTTTAGGAGGTACCTGAAGGATTTCATGTCCTCATGTCAAGTTTGGATATGGACCGGGGATAAATCAGTCCCATAAAGCAATGTCAGGGCTGAGCAGGTGAGAGATGCTTGAGATGTTTGGGGGATTTGAGTTCCTGGCCAGGCAGAGTGGCTTCCTTCTGTGTAGCAAGCAACCTCAGGTTGGCAGTGGGTATCCCTGGATTGCTGCCCATTCTTCCTTGAGAGGGACCATGTCTCCATCCTGTAGTGAACTTGATCACCAGCACTTTTTGAGAGCAGCTCTAGGCTGTGCCTGTAAAACCTCCCTGCTTCCAAGTTCTTTTGGATTTACAGAGTCTTTGAGGTTGGTAAAACCCTCTGAGATCATTGAGGTCAAACAATAAAGTGCCACTGGCAAGGCCACCACTAATCCATGTCCCCAAGTGCCACACGACTGTTATATCCTTCTAAGGATGGGGACTCCAGCACTGCCCTGGGCAGCTGTGCCAGTGCCTGACCCTCCTTTCCATGGAGGAATGTTCCCAAAATCCACCCTGAGCCTGCCCTGGCCCAGCCTGAGGCCGTTCCCTCTCCTCCTGTCCCTGTTCCCTGGGAGCAGAGCCCGACCCCCCCGGCTGTCCCCTCCTGTCAGGGAGTTGTGCAGAGCCACAAGGTCCCCCCTGAGCCTCCTTTTCTCCAGGCTGAGCCCCTTTCCCAGCTCCCTCAGCCTCTCCTGGGGCTCCAGCCCCTTCCCCAGCTCCGTTTCCTTCCCTGGACACGCTCCAGCCCCTCCAGGGCTCTCTTGTCAGGAGGGGCCCAGCACTGGAGGTGTCCCAGCACAGGGGACGGGCACTGCCCTGCTCCTGCTGCCACCCCAGGGCTGGCACATACAAGGTCTAAGCACGTTTGGACAAAAACAGTGATGGAAGGGAGAGGGTAAAAAGAGCCACAAAATGCTGGATTCTGCTAGAGGTGGGACAGCTGGGAGAAGGGAGGAAAGAAGCAGTGGAAATGAGATGAGAAAGACAGTGTTGTGTATTCGGTAACTTTGCTTTTAGAGCAGCCCGAAGCCGTGGAAACAGTAGGATGTGAATGTGTAAGGAATGATGGAGTGTTGCTCCTAAACACCTCAGCCTGTCCTTAAGTTTCTCTGTTTGAGGATCTTTTCCGGCTTTAGTGAATTGAATGTGAGTGCTGCCAGCTTGGGATGTCTCCACAGGTCTGTGCTGTGCAGGAGGGTGCCTTGGAGGTGTTTTGGGGTCAGGTACAGGGGAATTGACACTTCCTTGTCCCTCTGTTCCCGTGCAGGACACAGGCAGAGATGGCCCACACGTGCCGGGGCACCATCAACCTGTCCACAGCCCACATTGACACGGAGGACTCGTGCAACATCGTGCTGTCCAACGGGGGCAGGACCTACCACCTGAAGGCCAACTCGGAGGTGGAGAGGCAGCGCTGGGTCACGGCCCTGGAGCTGGCCAAGGCCAAGGCCATCCGCATGAGGAACAACCAGTCAGGTACGGGCACGCCGGGGGCAGCCAGGGCCTGCAGCCCTGCTGGGCACCCGGCTGGTCTGGGCCTGTGCAGAACCCACCCAGATACGGTTCCAGGCATAGCTGGAAGTTGCTGGTGGTGTCCCAGGGACAGAAGGGTTGGACAAAGCCCTGCTCCTCTCCCTCTCTCCCTCTCCCTCTCCCTCTCCCTCTCCCTCTCGTCTCCTCTCCTCTCCCTGGGCAGATCTGAGCAGGTCTTTAAAGCCATGGGAATGGCTGTGAAATGTGGGGAGCTGATGATGATGCTTCTGGAAAGCAGAATGACCTGGAGACTTTGTGCTGGGAATGCTGTCAATGCCGTGGTCAGAGGCCTGGGCACCACATGGGTGGTGTTCCATAGCTTGGTAGCTCCAAGTAGTTCCATAGTTTGCTGGATGAATGACACAGATATTTAGTTGAGCTGTTTCTGTGTGCATCTCTCTTTCTGTTCCTTTGTTGTGGTGTTTATTGGAGTAGGTTTGGGACAGCTATGATTTGTAAAGCTGTCAGAGCCCTGTGCCTGGTGCACAGCTCCTCCCCAGGGTGACATTGTTCTGCTCTGTAATGGGTCAGTTAGGCTTGACAAGCAGAATATTTTAGGAATATTTCAATGATTCAGTGAGTCTGTATTTCAATGTTCATAACTCGTCTGGGATTAACATTGGGTTTTCTTCTACAAGCAAGCACAGCTTCAAGCTGTAGTAAACAAACTTCAGAAATGGAAGAGAGAAGGCTCCAGAGAGACCTTAAAGCACCTTCCAGCGCCTAAAGGAGCTCTAAGAGAGATGGAGAGGGACTTGGAACAGGAGGGACAGGACACAGGGAATGGCTTCCCACTGCCAGAGGGCAGGGCTGGATGGGATATTGGACAGGAATTGTTCCCTGGGAGGGTGGGCAGGCCCTGGCACAGGGTGCCCAGAGCAGCTGTGGCTGCCCCTGGATCCCTGGCAGTGTCCAAGGCCAGGCTGGACATTGGGGCTTGGAGCAGCCTGGGACAGTGGAAGGTGTCCCTGCCCATGGCAGGGGGATTGGATTACATGGTATTTAAAGTCCCAACCCAAACCATTTTGTGATTTTAATTGCTGTGAACTTTCTGTCCCTTAAAATTCCATCTCTGGAATATGCAAATACTGACAGAGAGCCCTGCTGATCCAGGAAGAGGAAAAAGTTTCTGGGCACACTTGTTTAGCTGGGCAGGGTGGGACACTCTGCTGGTCCTGGCTGCACTGAGGTGGCTGTGGGGGCTGTTGAGTCCTTCGGCTTGGTGGGTGTGGGAAAGGATCTCCTGGAGAGGGAGGTGTGTGGGAAAGGATCTCCTGGAGAGGGAGGTGTGTGGGAAAGGATCTTCTGGAGAGGGAGGTGTGTGGCTTTACCTTCCCTTTGGGCCCATGGGGGTGTGGCAGTGCTGGCTCAGGGTGCAGTGGTCACAGGGGTTGTCAGCCACGCTGCCTCCTGAGTCAGGCACAGCTATTTTGGTTTCTATCTGCCCTTAAAAATAGCAAATGCAGAGCCTGGCTGTGCTGAGGCTGTGGCTGGGCTGAGCTCCCAGCTCTGGCTCCAGGGTCTCTGGGATGAGGGCAGTGTTGTGGATGTGGCTGCAGCTCTGCTGACTCAGCTCTCATCCAGGCCACAGAGCTGATGGGAGAGAAAATCCACAGCAGATTCCTGCTTTTCCAAGCTTTCCTGATCTGATCAGAGGGGATAAGACACTCTGTAAATGAGTGCTGAATACTTGTGTGTGGAGGCAGAGCTGAGCACATCAGTGAACTGTTTTATGCCTTGATGTTCACCTGGCTGATGTTTTGTCCCTATTAGAGATCTTTAAATTATAGTAAAGAGTGCTCCAGAGCAGAGGGGTTCCAGCCCTTGGAGCATCTCTGTGGCCTCCTCTGGACTCTGTCCAGCAGCTCCAGGTCCTTCCTGTGCTGGGCCCCAGCGCTGGAGGCAGCTCTGCAGGTGGGGCAGAGGGGCAGAATTCCCCCCTCTCCTGCTGCTCACACTGGGGTCTCAGCCCAGGGCATGGGGGATTTTGGGGTTGGGGAAGGTCCTGCCCTCACCCACCAGCACCCCAAATCCCCAGGGCTGCTTTCAATGAGTTCCTCTCCCAGTTTGTGATCATGGCTGCGATTGCCCTGACCTGGAAGCAGGACCTGGCACTTGGACTTGCTGAACCTTGTGAGGTTCTCCTGGGCCCTCTCCAGCTCTCCACCCCCCTGGATGTCCTTGTCCTTCTCTTGTGTCAACTGCCACACTCAGCCTTGAATCACCCACAGAGCTGCTGGAGCCTGAGCTGGGATTCCATTCACTGTTTCTGCAGGAATCAGTGATCCCTCAGTGCTGTCAAAGTGATGAGATTTGATGGGAAATTTGATGAGTAGAAGGACAGGAAAATTGTTGCCCATATCTTCACTGCTGGGTCACTATTTTGGGGTGAATGAAAAGGGTCTTTTCCCCAGGACTACTTCTGAATTGAGCAGCTGTGGAAGTGTTTTTAACTTGGCTGCTGGCTGGAGCTGTGCACCCACGGGCCATTTCACAGGACTGCTTTTCGTGTCTGTTTTCAACAGCAAAACCTGTCCCCAAAGCGAGTATGGGATGGGAGACTTTGCTGTTCTGTGCATGAGGGAGCTCTGGTTTCCCCTCTGCCCATTGTGGAGTCAGGAGTATTTTGGTAGTGAGCTGTGACCTGGGACATTGGTGCTGTGAGATGTGGCCTGAGCTCCCTGTCCTCATCCTGCTTCCCAGGGAGGAACCTGCGCAGGGATTCCGGCGGATTAGCGGCAGAAAGTGAGAGCGGAGCTGAGCTGCTGGCTTAGCTCTCTGCTCAATTACCACATGTGCTTAATTCCTCTAAACACATGTAGAGTGTGACAGGAGGACAGCACAGTCCCAGACCAAGCTCTGCTCAGCCAAACCTGGCATTCCAGTTTCTAGGTGGGTTTGCAAATTGTTGGTAAAGTTGTAGTAAACTCAATTTGCCCTCATCCAGCTCCATCACCTGCTTTTATCAGTACTGGCTGTGCCCTGTGCTCTTACCTGGCCTGAAAATCAGATTTCTGTATTCACCCTCTGTGTTTGGTGACTGTGGGTGGTGGATTTTCTTTGAACAAATAAAAAATAGATATAAAACTTCTATTTCTTTTTAGAGCAGTATTGTGACATTCAGGAATTGTATGAGTGCTGAATATATGAGGATTGTTTTCTTGGCTCCGTAAGAAGGGGGTCTTTGGAAAAGTGTGCAAGGGAAGGGTGGATATCTGTTGCTGGTATTTTAAACACTAGGAAAACTCCCCAAAATGGACTTGGGCTGCTTTGAGAGGGATTTGGTGACTCCTTTTGGTTCCCTGGGGGATCCCCGGCAGGAGAGAGGGTGAAAGCTGTGCTGTGATTCCAGCCTGATCTGGAGCAGATTCCAGGCTGGCAGAAAGTGATTTTGGTGTTCATGGTGCTGAAATCCAGGAGTTCACTGGACAGGTCAATGCTGGTGTCTGTGCCAAGAACAACTCACCTGCCAGTCACCCTCAGAGGCATCTGATTGCTTTGGCTGGGGCTGGAGTCAGTGCAGCAGAACTGGGAATTGATAATCAGAGTGGAAAAGAAGGAATGCAGGTTTGCTCTGTGTGCTGCTGTGATCTCTTCCCTGGAGATGCCCTGTCTCTCCCCACAATGACTCACAGGGTTTTCAGCAGAACTTGAAAAGAAAACTCAAACAACCAAACAGGCACAAGATTAACCAGAGAAACAATATCTCCTCCGACAAGGGAAGGAGGATGAGTGAAAGTAAATTTTTCATATGGGAGAAGGACAGCTGAAGGTGCCACATGGGTGATGGTCAGTGGTGCAGGAAATGTGCTGGAGCCCCAGGAGAGGCTGAGGGAGCTGGGAAAGGGGCTCAGCCTGGAGAAAAGGAGGCTCAGGGGGGACCTTGTGGCTCTGCACAACTCCCTGACAGGAGGGGACAGCCGGGGGGGTCGGGCTCTGCTCCCAGGGAACAGGGACAGGAGGAGAGGGAACGGCCTCAGGCTGGGCCAGGGCAGGATATTGGGAACATTCCTTCATGGAAAGGGTTTAACAACCATGTGGATGTGGCACCTGGGGACATGGGTTATTGGTGGCCTTGGCAGTGCTGGATTAATGGTTAGGCTTGATCTTAAAGGTCTTTTCCAACCTCAACAATTCTGTGACTGTCTGGGTCTAGGAAAAGATGGAGACAAGTGCTTATAACAAGAGAAAGGAGAGAATTATCAGGTCATAGGTTTAAATGGAGCAGGAATAATTAATATTTTGTACAACCTCCAATTAAATGGTGGCACTTGCTGCCGGGAGCCAGAAAACCCGGGGAGACTCAACAGATTTGGGCACAGTTTCATCCCCTGGGGTACAAGCTGTAACTGTCTGGGTATGGAATGTGACCTGGGGGCTCCTTGTGCAGCACAGCTCTGACAGTGAAGGATCAGTGCCCAGAGGAATCACTGCCTGTGCCCTGTCCCAGTGTCCTGTTTTCAAAATACCAATTGCAGTTTGCTTGCTGGGGAAGAGATGGAATTTCCTGGGGTTTTAGGCTGACCTTGTGGGACCATCCCGGGGAGGATTCACTTTGAAACCAACACCCTGTGCTGTGGGTCAGTGATCTGGGACAATGGGGGTTGATTACTTGGGTTACCTGGTTACTCCTCCTGCCTTCATCCATTGTTTTCTTCTTGAAAAACGGGGAAGGATTGCTTTTAGGGGCTTTCTGTGGACTGCAGGAGGGTGGGAGCTCTGGGCAGGGGGGAGGAAGAGAGTTGGTTGTGCTGGTGCTGCCCTCTGCTCTGGTCCTGGGGTGAATTCCTGTTGCAGTAGAGTGGAAAGGGAAAATCCAGCTCTAGAGAGGGACACTGGAGCTGTGGAGATCCCACTGCAGGGTTGGGGTGCAGTTGGGTGGGGGAAAGCCAAGGGGCAGCTCAAGTGAGCAAGGAGTTCCCCTTCAGCATCCCAGATCCAGC